ATATATCTCACACGCACATTCATAATTATACACAGTTACACTCGCATACAAAAAACATCAAAAATATTGTTTTAAAGACGCAAACACAAAACCCCTCCCCTCCCCCGCCTCACACACACACACACACACATACACATACACACACACACACACACACAAACACACTGCCACACACACACACACACTCCCACACACACACATACACACACAAACACACACACAAACAAACACACATACACACTCACACACACATAAACACTCTGCCTCAAATGAAAAACACGCTCAATCAACCCAGATCCGTATTATTATTATTATTTTTATCTCCTATAAAAGTATAAACCCTCTTCACTCCCCACTGTGAGCGTTGCCATGGATAAGGTGACCTTGAAGGAAGCGGCCATGTTGTGACGTCAAAGGAAGAACATGATTGTTTTCCAACCCTCAGAACTCTTTGCTCCGTTACAAGTTAATATTTAAGACAGTGTGTATGGGCTTTGAATTTGAAAAATAAGACAGTTTTCCTGGAATTACTTTTGATTCCATTAGACTTGAGCTTTAAAACTATAAACTGACAACACGGGTTTTATTCATTTTTCCAGTTCACATATTTTTTTTGAAGTTCAAATGTTACATGGGGGCTCTCGTGGCAGAGAAGTTTAGGTTTCCGCCTCTCATTCAAAGGTCCCGGGTTCTAATCCGGGCAGCAACGGTAACATTTTCTTCTCTAAAAGGGTCTCCTTTCACCCCCTTTCCTGCTCTCTAGCAATGTTCTGTCGTCTGCTTTCGTCTCCACTTTCTGCCCCCACCCTCCTTTTCCCCCTCCTCTGGGCTCTTGACTCTTTCTGCAGCCTTTCTACTGCTACTCCTTGGCTTCTTCTTACTGCTGTCTTTTAGCCACACCCCTGATCTTCTGGTAGAAAAGATCTACACCTAGTCTTCTCGGAAAAGGGCTAAACACTCGAAGGTCCCGAGTGCAAGTTGCGCACGTTAAAGATCCCTTGGTAGTCTAAAATCGATAAAAGAAGGCTTCAGCCAAAAAACAACAACCCAACCCTCCCCCCCCAAAAAAAAACAACCCAACGGCTATATCTAATGACACTTTCCTCTGTGATGAAGGGCGTCTTTTAAGCCTTACTAGTGGTTGCAACCACCCTCCCCCACCCCCCCCCCCCATCTACCAGTCTCTCTAACATAAAAATTCCATAAACATAGCAATACATATTTTTATTTCGCATCCTATCTTCCGAATGTGGCTCATTGCCAACAGGGAAATGAATACCGTAAATCGACTAAAATGTCAGGTTATTATTATTAACAAATAGCGATAAAAATGCTTACTGGTGGCCGAATGCAATCAATTTTTACGTGTTCTTCAGAAAAATTAAAACATATTATGTTCAATACTTTGAATGAATTGATGTCTTCTTCCACACGTTGTCAGCAAAACATCGTTTTATTTTCTAATGGACGGGCTCTGGATAGCCAGACGGGAAAATCTAAAAGATTGAATAGCCATCTGCGATAGAAGGTTGTACAGAGCAAAGAAAGCCAAAAAAAAAAAGAAGCCTTAACTTATGAAATGCTTTCATAAGGATGCGAAACTACTCAATTAAAGACGTGATTTTGACAAGTGAAGGCACAGAGACAGACCCAAATTAATAGTTGAAGGAGAGGCAGGGGCAGAAGGGATATAATTTTAAGTCTGATTTCATTTTATGTGCGCTTTTATGTCTGTTGGCGTCTGAGTGTCTGTGTATGTGTG